AGCAGCGGCCGAGTGACCCCCCCCTCCCCCGGGGGAGGAGCAGCCGCCGCTGTGGGGTGGGGGTGTGGGGGGAGAGAGGGGCAAGGACGGCTGCGAAGCTGTAAAAGGCTTTAAACACGAATACAGGATAACATGCGCTAATCCGCCGTGTCAGTTTGCCACGTGCTATATTGGACTATGACCAATGTTAAGTTTTTTTTTTTTTTTTAATTTACAAGATAGTTTTTGCGTGGTTCATGTCGAGCTGCTTTTGGGTAGAAATTTAAAATTTCGTAAAAATGCCCCAAACAAGCACTTTGAAATTGTTTTCATCAATTAAAGCTTCGTTGCAGTATTTAGTCTGATGGTACAGAATACATGAAGTTATTTTTATATTTCATACTGATTTATTAGTGACAGGGAGTAGTATATGTAAATGGACAGTTGAAGTAACTGTTTCTGGTCACCGTATTTTTCAAGATTTTAGAACAAATTAATGTCATATCTGTCACACCTAGTTTTCCATCATAGGCAGGGAGGGAGCGAAAGCTCTTCAGTGCTTTCAACACGCAGTCATTTTCTTGACTCTGAATTAGTCATTGAGCGAATTAGAGAAACTGAAATTCATGCAATACTCTACCTACTTCAGAAGAGACTACGGCGGGATTTCATTTGTATAGACGGCACAGTGAGGAACTTCCTTTAACGGCTTGACTGCCTCTGACATTTTGGCTTCTGCATTTACCTCTTTTTGGGCTGATTGCTTAACGAAATGGGGCTTACGTGACAGTGCTGTCGGTTGGTCGATCTGTCTTCTCCAATAATACATTTCAAACGTGCTCTCCCCTTTCACTTAAATTTCACAGAGGAAAAGAGGTCTCACAGACGTTAAATTCCTGCCAGTCTTGTCAGTGCCTGGATTTGCACTGACAAGAGTAGTAAGAACCAAATTTGTGCTTGCAAAATGGGGCAGGTCCATTTAGCTCAGCCTGCTGTCCCACTGCAAGCTGCAGCAGCCGGCGGGGCAGCCAGCTCCTGCGTGCGCGTCCGTCAGCCAGCGCACATGGCCCCAAACCAGGCAAAACATGTGCTGCTGTTTGCCCAGCCAAATAGAATGTGTCACGGGGAAAAGATGGGGGAGAGAGGGTGACATCGCTTGTCAGGGGAGCTGAGAGTACTCTTGCTTCAGAGCAGGGCTAAGAGATGCAGGACACAAATCTGCAGGAAACTTGACCTCATTAATTCTGCTGCACAGAGTAGCCTGTTACTCAGTTTAAGTGGATTACTTAAGGCCTGGATATAAATTGACATAATTTGATATTTAAATTTGTTGTTTTTTAAAGAAAAGATGTATTTAAGATTTCTCTTGCCTGGAAAAAGTCTTGTTTTATTGAAACCCACCCAATACTGCTGCAGAGATTCCTTTTCTCGCATAACACTTTGAATGTCTATCTTTGTCTTTCTTCCTTGGGCGTTCACTCCGTTACCATGTCAAACCCACCCTGTTTGTCTTCATTTTCAAGATTTGTCCTCACCTTACCTGGCATCACTTAGTATCAAGAGGTTTGTCTGTTCCCGTGTCTGAACAGTCCCGAAAATACTTAGCTATCGTCCCTCAAATCCCTCCTCTTCCACAATGTTTAGAGAAACCTGCTGTACTGACATAGCAAATTGATTGCACTAGTCAGCGTTAGCTTATTTCCTTGTAATCCTCATCTGTTGTCTTAGATTGTAAACTCTTTGTAGAGAGAGCCATTCCACTTGTTCACTGTGCATAGTAGTTGTTTGCATACTGTCTGGTCCGTGACCAGGACTCTTAGGCATTCTTGCTGTACATGCCATTAAATAAATAAGTTGGTGAGTAAGTAAGTAAAAAAGTAAATATCTAGTTTTACATACCTGGGGCCTTACCATCTCTCATCGTGCTAGTCTTCCATTAGCATTCGTATTTATCCTGTCTTCAGAAAAGAATCAAGACGTTCCCTCCACAGTTTGAACTCATGTTGGTTGCACCTTCTAAGTATAGCCAATAGCTTGTTTTGTGATAGCACTTCAACACCACTGTGGTTACACAATTTGTACCAAAAAGTACTATCCCATAACTTTCACTGAAAGCTGAGAACCTATAGGAAGTAGCACAGTCTGCAGGGAATCTTTCAGAAGACCCAAAATATGCAAACATGGACTTCTCCTGCATGCAAATTCCTACTTGTCCTGCTAACAACTAACCTTTGCCTATCATCTTATGCTCTGGTTTGCAGTAAAGCAGAGACTCACTGCTCTATTGAAAGCTCCGGTGAACACAATGCCACGGACAGGAAATAATTAATCTCTGTGTCAGTAGTGAAACAAACAGAGAAACCAAGAGTTTCGTGGTACGGCCTGGGGTTGCTGGCAGCAACTGCTTTAGGACCTGGTACTGCCTGACTTTATGCTTCAGTTACAATCCCTCCTTGGGTCATGGTAGAAAACCGTGATGTTGGAACAACCTGGGCAAGGTCTGTCTGCCTCCACCCCTTTCTGAGGCAGGGAGAAGCCAGGCACCCTGCAACTGACCTGCACCAGCAGCTCAGCTAACTTAAACTGGCCGCCACGTGTTAGTTGTAATAGCTGTCACCTTGTGCTTGTTTCCAGGCACAAGCAGGTCAATTGGGAAGGTAGCAGCCTGCCCCAATCTTTATTTAAATCTGTGGGTATATATACTCTCGGGATTGGAAAACTAACATGTAACTAGCCAGACCAACTGTGTGCAAACAGCATGTCTTTTTATATTGCCTGGGAGAACTGAACCTCTGGGATCGCCTCCTTCAACATC